CGGTACCGGGGATCAAAGTCACGACCACCTGCTTGCAAGACAGGTGCTTATGCCGCTGAGCTAAACCCCCAGCCCCCACTGCTTATTATTTTTAAAAGGGTACTTCAAATTTTCCTCTTGTTGAGTTTCACACATCTAAAATGTCTGCACCGTTGTCTCATCTTGTAAAAAAAAACCCATCATCACCATATGTTTGACAGTTTTCTTTTAAGACAATAAAACCAAGAAAAATAAAGCAATAAAATCAATCAAAAAAATCATAATAACTGATACAGGACTTCCAAACCTTATGAAATCAACAATAGTTACCACAGTGCCTTTGTTGTCTTCAAATTAGCTGCATTTATTACCTTTGGACATATTAAAAATTGAACAGAACAGAATAGAAATAATAAAAACAAAACAATGCATGCAATAGAGGATATCAAAACAAGCCAGTACTGAATACATAATAGCTTCCATAAAATGTCTTGCTATCTTTCAAATAGCTGCTCATGCAGAGTTAACACAAACAAAACAAAAGAAAATAAAAATCCAACCCAACAAAACAAAATAAAAATCCAAACCAACAAAACAATGAAAGTGATATGGTTTCTGGGCAGGGATCTTGTCCTGCTGAGGTGTAGTTCTTTCCTCCTGCTAACCGCAAATGGTGCTAACACACGGAGCTAGGCTTGGGTCTGGCTCTCCCCAAGCTAGCGGTGGCCCACACAGAGCACTGGTTTCCAGGCAGGCATCTCCTCCCATGGGGCCTGAACTTAAAATTGAACTCAAAATTTTTGGTTTTGTTTCTGTTTCCACATAATTATTTTTTATTATTTCAAACTTCTTAATTTTTATACTTCTTAGTTTTCAATTTCTTTTATTACATTAGTATTTAAGACTATACATTTTTATAAGCACCCCCTTAGCTTCACATGCACACATACACACACACATACACACAGAGAATATTGTTCTGTTTTCTGAGTTATAAATATTCCTTGATTTCCATTGTGGTTTTTTCCTTCGATCTGTAAGTTAACTCTGTGACATTTTTTTAAAGACTGTGGGTCTTTTCTAGATTCTCTTTTGTTGTTTTTATTTAGCTTAATGCTACTGTGATAGAAAATGTTGACAGTACCATATCAGTACTTCAAAATAGAAGTACTGTGTAATATGTTGTATGTGAAAATTTCACATGCAAGTATTGAGACTTGCTTTATAGCTTAGAACTCAAAAGTATGTGTGAATGTTGTACACTATGAAATACTTTCTGCATATTAAGTTCATTGTTCCATATATCATATCTACTAAATAAAGCTAATTTATTGTACCTGCTCATTTTTCTAGAACTGCCATAACAAAGCACCAGAGACTGAGTAGTTTAAACAACATAAATTTATTCTCTCACGGTTCTGAATGCTAGCAATCAGCATTCAAGGTTGATTTCTTCTAAGACCTCTCTTCTTGTCTTGTGGTTACCTTTTTCTGTCTTCATACGATGTTTTCTTGTATAAATATCTCTGTTTCTAGGAATACATGTTCTATTGAACTAGGACCTACTCCTAAAAACTTCATTTTAACTAATGTATCTCTTTAAAGACTGTTCAGTTTTTCTAATGTGGTTACTTTTCTGAGACACCAGAAGTTAGAACTGATAAATATTGGCTATTGACACAATTCAGTCCACAACATGATACTTTTCAAATTCTTTACATTCTTAAATTTTTTTTGCTTGCTTCATCATTCTGAGTCATTCAAATTTTCCACTGCAGTAATGGATTTTTGTATTTTATAAAGTTCCATCAATTTTTTCTTCATATATTTTGAAGTTATGTTATTTGTGATTTATGTTTAGAATTTTTATGGCTACTTAGTTAATCAAACATTTTATTATTACATAGTTACTCTCTAACTCTAGCAATGCTTTGTTTTTATGTTCTATTTTGCTAAAATACGATTTTGTTAGCTTTCTTCTTTCTGGTTAATTAGACAGTCTGTGCCCTCCATCAGTTTCCTCATCTGTAAAATGTGTTTAATAGTATTCATGCTTCATAGTGCCATTATAGCTATCACATGAGTGCAATGGTTAAGCTTACTTGTCAAACTGACTGTGTAAGAGGCTCCTGGAAAGGTGACTGGATCATGAGGATGCAATATATTCATCAGTGAATAAATCCACTGGTGCTCATAGCTGACTGTGCTATTTGAAAGTGGAGTCCAGCTGGAGGTAGGTCACTGGAGTCATGCCTTTGACGGGCGTATCTGTCGTGGTGATCTTTCCGTGGGCTGTGACTCCCAGCCACCTACAGTGCTTAACTTTGCTCCACCAAGCCCTTTGACCATGATACTCTGCCTTGGAACTAGCCAGTCATGGCCAGCCTTCTAAAATCATGAGCCAATGTAAATCTCTCTTTTAAACTGTGAGTGAGGGATATTTGCTCCTGGCAATGGGAAAACTCACCAGTACAGTGAATTACTGGGCATAAAAGTATTGAGAACAGTGCTAGGCAATGCTTTTAGTTAATATTTTATTATTATAGGTATCACTTCAAATTGACATTTTTTTCATTTTTCTTTTCTTTCTTTTGAATGATGGAGTACATTTTTCATACTTTTTTTTTCCCCTCTGGTTTAGAAACTGTTTTCTTGGTTTTATCACATTAGGGTTACTTTAGAAATTTAACGATATACTTCAGTTATCAAAGTTTAAATTGAATTCTTTTTCTTCTCTCCTAAATAAGACTTTATAGCACTTTAATTCTGACCATCTTCTTTCTGACATATTCTATTTTTGTATTCTAGTTTCACATCAATTTAAAGCTTTATAAATTATTAGTATTATTATAAATGGTCAATAATTTGTTTTTACTGGCATATTTATGGTTTTCATTAATTTATGGTTCTTCATTTTTTTTTTACTGCTCAAATTACATCTTTCAAATGAATCTTCTGGTAGCAGATTTTCTGTTTTTCTTGTCTGGAGGTATCTTTATGTAGTGCTTTTTAAAAAACTATAAGAGTTTGTAAACAAATTTAGGTGGACAGATATTTTCTGTAAGCATATTAAAAATAAAATTACAAGCCAGGTGTGGTGGCTCACGCCTGTAATCCCAGCACTCGGGAGGCTGAAGTGGGAAGATTGTTCGGAGTTCGAGACCAGCCTGGGCTACAAAGTGAGCTCAAGGCCAGCCTGAACTGCGTAGGGAGACCCCGTCTCAAAAAAGACCCCCCCCCAAAAAAAAAGAAAATTACATAGTTTTTTCACTTGCATACTTGCTATTGAGTAGATGTCTTTTAAAATCAGTCTTCATTGTCACTAATGTGCTTTAAATGTAAGTTTCTCTTTAATTTATCCTGGTTGATTTCTGGACCTATGGATTGATGTGTTTTCAATTCTACAAAATTCTCAATCATTAGTTCCTTAAATATTGCTTCTCTTCCTCAGTTTATTTCTTTCTGAAAGTCATGCTAGATACAAGTCAGATCTTATCACTGTATTCATCTCTTTTATCTTCTTTGTGTGTTTTGTCTCTGTATTATACTCTGCATAATCTTCATAACTGTATTCTATTTCATTAGTAATATCTTCAGTTGTTTAAACTCATTTGAGTTTTGTTTTTTTATTTAAAATGTTTTAACCTCCAGTTTTTTATTATCTTCCTTATCTATTTGATAATTTCAAAACCAAACAATTCTTTTCTTTTTTTGTGTCTGTTAAGCGCAGTATTTAAAGAATTTCTGGATCTCTCTGTCTCTCTGTCTCTGTCTCTCTCTCTGTTATCTATCTCTATATTTACTGTGGATTTCTTGCATTATTATAAGGACTTTTTAGAATCAGGTGCTTGTGAGGTCATTCACTTCTGATAGGTGCCAAGAAGCACATTCTCCATGTCATACTTTAAGCTAAATTATGATTTTAGGATTTCTTAGTACATGTAGATATTGAAAACTTTGACAATTAGTGTACTCATTAGCTTGCCATCAAACATTTTCAGGACAATTCCTTCAACTCAGTGCCAAAATTCAAAACTAACAAATCTCTGAAAATTTAAAAGTATAGTAGCTTAGAGAAAACATACCTATTTGAGGTCACTAGCTTTTTGTGAAGAGTTTCCTGTGAGACTCTCCACCTAAATAAACACTGAGTTTTGATTCCTTTCCCAATGAGAACCATGCTTGTGATTATACACTCTGAAAGTCTAAGAAATAGCTTTCAAATAGGTAAGTATAGCCTTAATGAAAGGTGACTCCTGGAGTTCTACAGTGTCCAGTCTGCATAACTATAATATGCTGGCCCTATTTCCATCCCTATGTATTATGTTTTATATCTAGATGTTTCCCCCAAAGCCTCACTCAAAGATAGGGCTTTGGAAGGTGACTGGATTATGGTGGCATTCATTATACCTGACTTCCTGTTAGGACATAGGGTCTGACAGAAGAGGCATGTCACTGTATGTATCACCTGCAAGGCTCTCTCTTCCTCTCTCTCTCTCTCTCTCTCTCTCTCCCTCCCTCCCTCTTTCTTTTTCCCTCTCCACACCCACCTGCTTCCTGGATGCTACACTGTGAACATCTTTCCTCCACTCAGACCATCCCACCATGTCTTCCTGCCTTGGAGCCAGACAACTATGGGATTAAAAACATGAACCAAAATAAACCATTCCTCCTTAAAGTTGCAGGTGTCAGGTATCGTGCTTTGGCTATGAAGATAGTGACCAATACCACAAGATAGTCAAAACCAAAGTTCAACTTCACCAGGTTCAGTAAGTGCCCAGTGAGGGCACTGGTGAAAACAGAGTTTAGACCTTCAGTTTTGTAATGCTGTAACTGACAGAACTCGGCCAAAGAATATGCAGTCTCCCCACTTTGAAGCCCTTCAGAGTAGTGGTTTTAATATCTTAAGAACTGAGCTGATTTGCTAATTATCATTTCCACAAAAATATCCACCACTTGTCCCAGTAAAGAAAACATAAGTTGATAAAAAGAGTTAATTGTTTCTCTTTGTTTCTTTTTAGAGATTGATTTTCCAGTCATTCTCCAGCCTACAAGTGCAAATGAGAAAACACAGCTAATCAGAGAAGGACCTCGAAGCTACTGCACAGACTCTTGATATGGAGCCAGGGGGTGTCCAAGCGCTTCCTCTTGATTCAGCCACTCCCCAGGTGTTTGTGGGAAGGACAGAGACATGAAATTCTGGAAACTTTTAGAAATTCATATTTTGCTTTCCGGTTAGAGGATGGTGGTAGTCATGTAATTTTCTCAGAATGCAGACTTTCTCTTTGGGCAAAACTTCCTAATGAAACACATTCAATTTTGCTGAATAAAGGCCTAAAGACTCATTTTATGGTCTTTGCATGAGGTAAGGCCATGGCACTGGACAGTTTATGAGACTATCCTTAATATGAGTTAGACTTTATTCACAGACTAAAGTAGTATCTTAAAACAAAAACACTTTTAGCCCATTTAACTAAATGCAATATTTGTATATGCTGCAAATACCAGAAAACAAGAGAGGTTCAGAGATTTATGTCAGTGGCGTAAGTGCCTGCCTGGCAAGCATGAAGTCATGAGTTTGATTTCCAATACCAATATATATATATACAAGAAAGAATTTGGAAAGGTATTCTTATATGCAGGGCTCTTTTTCTGTCAATATTTAGTATGTAACCAACATATTTCAAAAAGCAGGAGAGATTATTAGATTTAAAAGAACAGATCACCTGTTTTTAAGTATATTTTTAGAAAATTAAAAATTGAACACTGAAAATCAACAAGTAAAACCAGAAAAAAGAGGCTTTGAGTCTGCTTTTCGATTAAAAACAAAAACAGCTTCAACCTTGCTAAATCTTACATTTGATCCAGAAAATCATTCCAAGTCTGTACCATCCCCAAACAATGTGTCAACTTTTTAGCAAAATAACTTCTGGTATAAATGGCCAACATTTTACTGTCCTAAGGAAAGAAAATATATGAGGTAAAGAGTAGAATTCTCAATTCTATAATATAAATTTAAATTTAAACGCATGTCATATGCTGAGTGGAATTCATTACATTGAACAGAAAATGCTCAGCTTGTACATTTGGGCAATCTAAACTCAGAAGTCATGTCTGTATTTTCTATCTTGATTCTTAAATTCATTGAATGATAGAAACTATGCACTATTTCTAAAACAATATAGCAGCAAAACTGTTTTTTTAGTCTCTCTTAGTTCCTTAAATAATATTACATTTTCAAGATCTTGTTATATTTTTATATATTGCATGAATTACCATCTTCTTTTTTCTCTCTTTCTTACTCAGCCATCACCAAATTATAGTCAATTGCTGCTAAATATATATTGTAAGTGAAAATTAGTGTTATAGTTCTGACAGTTCTAAAGTCATTAAAATTTGTTCAAACTCTTGAATTACCGAAATTATTATTTTACATAATCAAATAGGAAGAGCCTTGGATTGAAAGTTGAGAAGCCCTTTCTAATCTAAACCTTTACTAGCCTTGGATACAAGTGAGATGATAAGAAAACTAATCTTTCTATAACTGATTTCATTTCCGTGCTGATCACTTTCTGAATTGCTGTAAGATCAGTTGAAATGCCTAACATCAAAGAACTTGAAAAATCCAGTGTTTAACAGATGTGAAATGATTCTACATGATTATGGATATGCTGGCATAGACATAAGTAATGTGCTTTCCTATGCATATGAAAATTCACTCAGTGACACCCATGAAGGTATCCAGCACCAATAGCCCTAATAACTAAAGAAATGCTTGGAGCTCTGTACTCAATGAACAAATGCTACTTTGCATTTGGAGAAAACAATTGGTTAAATAGCTCAATCTGTGGATAATTTCAGCAACTGTATTTCCTTCCTGTGTTCTCTCTAAGCAAAGGTCCAGCTTATTTTGAATAGCAACTGACAAATCACAACACTAATTTCTGTTCCTCTTTCTTTTTCACATGAATTTTTACTCGCATTTTCAGCTTATCCAGGGAGCTGGTCCAACAGTGGTTAGGATGAGAACACAGGATAAATTAGAATCAGAATCAGATGGTAGAATCAAATTCCAGGGGAGTCCTAGCCAATGTTTTCCATAGAGAGCCAGTTTCTGGTTACACTGATGCAAGCACATGAACACCTATGAATGAGGGAATGATGCTACCAAATGCCCGTCAGCTAAAGGAAAAAGAATTAGTAATCAACTGAGAAAATGCTTAAGCAACTTTTGGAAGTCAACAGGAGCTGCCATCCAAAAACACCTAAAGTCACTCTAAATCCACAAACACCTTAGCAGAGAAGAGTCAAGAAAAGAAGGGATATGCTGACCAGGAGCCTTTGGCATCATCAGGCAGAATCAAATGAACAGCCCACTTCAAGGGCTCCTCCCTTATCCTAGGTAATCTGCTACCATGGTGGGAGATTTCATACAAGTTTTCATGAGTTATCCATTTATTTTCTTGCCATTTTATGTTACTTAATAATAAGTATATATTCAGTTGTATTTACCAAAATATATATCTTAATTTTTTGAGAATTGCATCTATTTCTACATTTCAAATGGTATATATACTAAAACATGTTCAATATGATCCACCTAGACTGCAAGTGCACTTCCTGACTGTGTGCTGCCTGATTCCATTACTTACACAAAGGGGGAGAGAGTTCAAGGAAGGCTGTATAATTTCTGTGAAAAGCATGATAATGGTCCCCAGGATGTGTACATACTGATTCCAAGCCTCTATGAATATATCACCATTTATAGAAAAAGGCCCTAAGCAGATATGATTTTTATGCACCTTGAGTTGAGGATCCCAGTAGCCACGTGAATCCCTCAAGGTGCTTTCCTGATTAAAGATGCTAGAGAAAGAAGGGACTGCGGATGAATGGTCAGATGCAACTGAACCTCAGACAATAATCAGAGCATTGAAGATGTGAAGGAACAGAACCATCAGCTAAGAAATCCAAGAAGCCTGTAGAAACTAGTAAACTCAAGAAAATGGCTTTTAAAATTTTTTTTAAATTTTATTTAAAGAAAGACTAAAAATCCAGAAAATAGGTAGAAATAATACATACATTCAGAGAAAAAAATAAACAGTAAGAAATCACTAGTTGATGTTTACATATTATCGTTTTACAAATAGTTGTTCAAGGTACAAAAATGGAACATGTAATGTGGGAATTCAAACAGCAAGACTGCAAACAGTTCGTTCACTGTCCAACAAAAACTTAGCAACATGGTTGTCAATCCTATACACTTAAACATATATGCAGTTATCAATATCTTCATTTATGTTTAGATTAAACAAACTAAAGCAGGTTAAAATCATTCTGAACAAAGAATAATAGTGTTGATGGATTTTGCTTCATGACACTCCGTAATCAGCACTGGGTACTGTAGTGTCTTTTTTTAAAAATTTAATTTAAAGAAAGACTAAACAAAAACAGAAAACAGGTAGAAATAATACATAATTTCAAAGAAAAAAATAAACAGTAAGAAATCACTAGTTGATGATTACAGATTGTCTTCTTACAAATAGTTATTCAAGCTACTAAAATGGAGCATATAAAATGGGGATTCAAACAGTAAGACTGCAACCAGTTCTATTCAACTATCCAACAAAAACTTACAAATATGGTTATCAATCCTATACACTTAAACATACATGCAGTTATCCATATCTTCAATTATGCTGAGATTGAATAAACCCAAGCAGGATCAGCAATGGGTATTTTAGTGTCTGTTTTTCTTCAAAGTATCTGTTCATTTCATCATGTGTCATAAGATCAGTTCTCATAAACTGTTTACAGATTCTACACATGCATGAGTCTTAACATGTATTTCTATCCTTTCTATATTAGAGGGAGAAACAAAACAAAGCAAGACAAAACAAAACATATTTCTATAAACACATGAAATGAAAGACATATAAGACCGTTGTACAAGGAGTCCTACCATAGTTCCTGTGTTGTCTGTTATCTTCAATAGAATTGGCTATATCATCAGACATAGTATAATTCAATACATCAGTACATAACAGTATTAATAAAAACACAACTTTGTATATAGTATAAAACTTGAAAAACAGGCAGTAATCAAACCGGAATGTGTATCATAGAGTCTTCTCATCTTCAGTGTAGTTATCTATACTCTCAATCAATCAATACTATCAATCATATCAGTTTTGAATAAAATCTTCACTGATTCATTTCTGTTATGCTCTTTTCTTGCCATCAGTTGTCTGCTTATCTTCTTCATTCTGTTTCCTGCTCCATTCATTGAGGCCTCTTTGCAACTGTTCTTGGAATCCTAGTACTTTTCTCTCTCTCTAGAATGCCCTGCAGTATTCTCTGTAGAGTTGGATTGATGGATGCGAATTTCCCAAGTTCCTCTTTGTCTTGGAAGCATCTTGCTTCTCCATTAATTTCTAGAGACAGTTTATCAGGCTATATCAATCTGAGTTGGAGGTTATTTTCTTTCAGGGCTTGGAATATTTCACTTCAGGCTCTTCTTGACTTGATGGTTTGTGTCGAGAAGTCTGCTGTTATTCTGATGGGCCTTCCTTTGTAGGTTTATCTGTTTCTTATCTCTAACAGCTTTTAATATTCTGTTGTTATATTGAATTTCTGGGATCTTGATTATTATATGCCTGGGTATAGCTCTGTTTTGGTTGTAGGTGGCTGAAGTTCTGTATGCCTCATATATCAGAATATCATTTCCTTTTCCTATGTTTGGGACGTTTTCATCAATTATTTCTGTGAATAATCTTTGTAGTTCCTTTGTTTGTACACCAGCTTCTTCATTCACATTCTTTATTCTGAAGTTATAGATGCTTTTATCATCTTCTAGCCTTTGTATTTTTACTGGTGGTTTCCTTGTTATTTTAAAAAGTTTTCCCTTTCATACTCCTACATTGCAAAATTGTCCTCCAGTTTGGATAATCTATCCTTAGTTTCTTTCAAGCTAATTTGCCATCTTTCCATAGAGTTTTTAATTTCCTGGTGATCTCTTTGAATCTGTTTCATGTAGTCTGTATTTTTTTTAGTATTCTTCATCAAATGGTTCTCTCCTTTGACTTCCTCCCTTCTTCCATCTGTGTCTGCTTGAGGGGTGCTTAGTATCTCTTTTATTAATCTTCTTATACCTTTCTTTATTTGGCTAAATATTTCACTTTTGAACTCGTCTATGAGGTCTTGAATATATCTCTTTATGTCCACTGGCACTGTGTCTGATATTGCATGTTTGCTGTTCTCATTCTCCTTTGTATTTACCTGTCCTGGGTCAATGTTCTCAGGATTGGGACCTGGGGACTTTTTGTTGTTGCTTCCTCTTCCCATCTTTTTTCTTTCTTCCAGAAGACCCCAGTTTCTTTCTTTGTTCATTACAATTCTTTTGAAGTGCACTGGCGAGATGACCCTTCCCACTGCCATGTGCTAGTGAGTTGCAGACAGGGACAGCATATGCTGGCCCCTCCCCTCCAGATCAGTCAAACTTCTGAGGCTTCACTGGATTAGTGTGCACCACTGCTGTAGGAACTTGATTTCAGATAACCTATTGGATCTCAGCCAAGTCACATGACCTAGGCCTAGCTCACTCCACCAATCCCATTTGGGAAGGAAACAATTGACTGAAGTCACTACTGCCCCTTGTACTTGCCAGTCCTGCCCGGTCCCAGAATGTTGTCTGCTGGAGCCCCCCTATTTATGGAATGGCTCAACTCCCATCACTCACCACAGGTAGATGTTGGCATCCTGCCAACTCAGCTCTCTGTTCAGCTTGCCAACCCTCAAACTCAATATAACTGCGCCCCCAGTGAGTTGAAGCTGCAGGACCTCAGGACAGATCGGCAAGTCGAGGTGGAACCTCAGCAAGTCAAGGCAGGACCTCGGCCAGTCATGGCGGGACCTTGGATGGTCAGCAAGTCACCTTAATTTCTTCTTGGGATGAGAGAGAATTCATCTCCCTCTGTTTAGGGCTCCCCACTCTGTATTATGTTGAATTCTAAGTTGACTATCTCAGGGAGCCTCTGTAGCCAGTTGTTATCTTGTTCCTATCTATCTTGAGCTCTTCAGATGTGCAAGACAAATAAATGTTCTCATCCTGAGGGTTGCTTTTGCTTATTTTTAAAACTTGTTGCCAGTGGTCCTAAAATTCTCTGTTTCCCATTCAGCAGGTGGAATCATAATTTTTCCCTTGACTGAAGCATAGACTCACCGAATCTCTTCTGGTACAAACAGTGTGATGGAAGTTTTACTTTCCCTCACCAGCGAGGTGAGGTGAAGTCTGACAGCACGCTATCCTGCCCTATGCTTTGGTACCTTCCCTATTCCTCCCCTTCATGGTCTCAGGGTCTGCCCTTTTT